CACCCCTAATGAAAAATACAAACTAAATAAGAGACATATAATCTTCAAACCCTATTAAAATTTGCGCAAAAATCTTCCATAGTTTGAAGTTGGAAGTACGATAGATACTGTCACAGTAGAAACTTTCAATGACAAACACAATAAAATGTTCAATGAAAGCCTTAGCGTATCGAACAGTGGAATGTCACGTGAGTAAAGTGATTATAATATCAATCGTTGACACTCGGTGAACTGTTAATTTAGTGGCTCATTCCACCGTAGTTTGGAGACTTTTAAAAGAAATTAGATATGAGCCGCAATTTGTCCAACATTATCCTTTGGATATGTTGAAGTTTAAATTAAAATACACATTCTGTGCAAATGAGACCAATGGACAAGTTGCGACTCGATGTAGACAATGTCGTTGAAAACTGGTATGCATATGAATGACAATAGAAATGTGACAAAACTGTTAGACCCCCGTCTCAAAAGCTAGTGTCGCTCGGCATTATTTAATACTTTCATGTAATATATACCAAAACCTGCTCTTAAGACATTGTGTAATACCTATAAAACATAAAGTTTATGAACTTTGGAATTTTATTTTGCGCAAAACACCGGGACCCAACTCTCATAGCTTAAGTGCACTTATCCTTTGTTCAAATTTAGGGTGAGTACGATGGGGTCATAATGAGCGATCAGAGTTTTACATAGGAATACGTAGATAGAAATCTTTAAATGTCTTCTGCTCAATAACAGCGAAGCCAGGATTAGTAATTTTGATATGAAAGCATCCTGAGGTAGCTAAATTCAAGTCCCCTCCCCTTTAAACCTTTCAATACTGAGCTGATTGCTCCTTTTTTCTGGCCAATGTGCTCAGGTGAGAGATGTGGCCCTTGGGCCTCTTGTTTAATTTAGGAATTTCACGGCTATACTTCAATATTTCAGATGCTAAATGGCTTAAAATCAACTTTGTTAGCTGACTCACTTAGATCCTAGATTGTGTTTCTTTAAAGTAGGTTACTGTGACCAATTTTTGGAATTTCATTGCTATTTTTTAATACATTGTATTTAAGATGATAAAAAGCGTAGAATCATCAAACTTTGTCAGTTGATGCATCTTAGGTTCTCAGAGTGTGTTAACCAGAATGTAGGTCATGTTGATCTACTTTTGGAATTTAAAGGCTTTATCTAAATTTTTAGGAGACCAAAAGGCTTATGATAGAAGTGACAGCGTTGCACAATTTATCAGTAGAGCGATTCTAGGTCCTTGGACCTCTTCTTGTAATTTTTCTATACTGTTACAATACACTTCACTCCACTCAGCACTACTATGTTCTGAAACTTTTAAACATCATTGCCAAAAATTTGGAAGAATTTCCGAAGAATTGAACATGTATATAGCATTTCCAAAAATCTAGCTATAATACATCGTCTGTTAGCTTGGTTGTGCTGTTGTCCACGCTCATCATAGGGAGGTAGAAAAGGATTTGGGGCAGGATAATTTTAATAAATATTCTGTACTGTATATTAAAAAAATACATATTCACATTCGATTCAAAACTGGATTAATTAAACGCTCATACTGTCAACATGGAAATCCACTTACAAATATCAGTTCCTGAGTTGATGAGTATAGTTATGGCCCAAAGTAAAAATATAGATGCCGTGTGACACGGCTCCATCTGGAACAGAGTAACTTTTTTAGGTCACCTGAGTCACTCAGGTGACCTATCCACTTAACCAATTTCAACCAAATTTGGCATATAGGATATATGGGTGAAGGGGAACAAAAATTGTGAATTTCATGGTCCCTGCCCCCCTGGGGCCTGAGGGATGGGGCTAAAACCACCAAAATTAATGCATTCTTTAAAAATCTTCTTTACTCCTGGACATCAAGCAGTCAAACTGTTGGCATGATTGTAATAAGCATTGAGCCCTCTACCAAAATTGTGAAATTCATAGCCCCAGGGTCAAGGGTTATGGTGCTAGTGTGGGGCTATATAGATCATATAGTGAAAGTGCATTATTTCTTTGAAAATCTTCTTCTCTGCTCTGGGTATTAGATAAACTAACTAAGTACATAGTTATGTTGAGCAAGACTGCCTCTTCCAAAATAGTGAATTTCATGACCCCTGGGTCAGGGGTTCTGGTGTTAGGGCGGGGCTCTATTGATTATATAGTGAAATGCATTAATTCTTTGAAAGTCTTCTTCTCTTCTCCTGGGTATTAAATAAAGTAAGTAAGTACATAGTTATGATGAGCAAGAGTGCCTCTTCCAAAATTTTGAATTTCATGGCCCCAGGGTCAGGGTTCTGGTTTAGGGCGGGGCTCTATTGATTATATAGTGAAAATGCATTAATTTTTGAAAATCTTCTTCCCTTCTCCTGGGTATTAAATAAACTAACTATGTACATAGTTATGATGAGCAAGAGTGTCTCTTCCAAAATTGTGAATTTCATGGCTACTGGGTCAGGGGTTTTGGTGTTAGGGTGGGCTCTATTGACTACATTGTATATAGTGAAATTGCATTAATTCTTTGAAAATCTTCCTCTCTGCCCCTGGGTATTAAATAAACTAACTTAGTGCATAGTTATGACGAGCATGGTTGCCTCTTCCAAAATTATGAATTTCATGGCCCCTGGGTCAGGGTTTGTGGTGTTAGGGTGGGGCTCTATTGATAAATATAGTGAAAATGCATTAATTCTTTGAAATTCTTCTTCTCTCTTCTGGATATTAAATAAACTAAGTACATAGTTATGGTGAGCATGGTTGCCTTTTCAGAAATTGTGAATTTCATGGCCCCTGGGTCAAGGGTACTGGTCTTAGGGCGGAGCTCTATTGATTATATAGGGAAAATGCATAAATTCTTTCAAAATCTTCTTCTCTGCTCATGGGTATTATTCAGTATTTATGGAAGTGCATGGTTATGATAAGGAAGAATGCCTCTTCCAAAATTGTGAATTTCGTGGCCCCTGGGTCAGGGGATCTGGTGGGGGGGGGGGGCTCTATTGATTATATAGTGAAAATGCATAATTTCTTTCAAAATATTTTTTTCTACTACTGGTTATAAAGCAAAGAAACAAGTGCATAGTTATGATGAGCAAGGGTGCTTCTTCCAGAATTGTGAGTTCATGGCCCCTAGGTCAGATGTTCTGGTGTAAGGGTGGGGCTTTATTTATTTATTTAATAATATAGTGAAAATGCATTTCTTTGAAAATCTTCTATGCTTCTGGGCATATTCGAGGCAAACAGAGTAAAATATTTAATATGCAAAGGTATTTTTACCAGAATTTTGAACACCTGGACCATTTAGTCAAGTGTTCTGGTCCTAGCCAGGGCTCTATTAATTTGTATTCTGCTGAGCAAAGTTATTCCCTTTACCATTCTCCTTTGATAATTAGTCACTGTAAACAATGTATTAGAAATTCATGGCCGTAGGAACCGGGGGGGGGGGGCGTGCCCCCCAATAATACTATAGTAAACATAGTTACTATATGCTTGTGCCCCCTCAATAATAACGTCTGATGCCTTTTTTTTTTTTTGCTTGTCAGGGACTTGATAGTGCCACCCAACTGAAAATGTATGGTTGTGCCCCCTCAACGTGAAATTGCTTCCTACGGGCCTGCAGAAAGGTTAATAGAATACAAGAATTATGCAAGAATATTTATTGTGTAATTTATTGTGTAATACAAAAAGTACTTTCATAGTTTTAATGATCAGATAGACTTGGAAATAATAGATGAAAAAAATGAGACAAAAAAACTTATCATTTTAAATGTTCTTCAAAAGCCAAGAGAGGCCAATGTGAGAAGTAATAATATGGGGTTAAAAAAAGACATTTTGTTAATAGTCTGCATGGTAATAGTGATAAATGGAGACAGATAGATACTAGACCAATTATTTTGTTGATGCTAATCATACTGTTTTTCTTGGTTTTGGGCAACAAAGTTTCATTTATCAGTTTATGGATCTTCTAAATTGTTGTATTGTACTCAGGTGACCGTTAAGGCCCTTTGGGCCTCTTGTTAAAGTTGCCCTCAGAATATGTTGTCAATAACTTTGTACAGTTCTTTTTTATGCTGCATACAAATGCCATGTCCCCATTTTTAAGATAATGACCTTATTTCCCCAATTTTTTCATGTGTTATATGTATCTCCAGACAAGAATTCAAGAACAGATTTGATTTGAGTGAGTGAATAATAAATTGACATAGATCAGTTCAAATCGTATACTGGTATCTCATTTTAAATTTCCAGTAATGATAAGTAATATTCTTTCGGAAATGAAGGAAAATAACTTTTGGTAATGATAATTGACAAGAATTTAAAAGTTGTAATTTATTTGCAGCTATTGCAGATTTACTAGAGAGAATGGAACACTGGTAGTCCGAACATTTGATGTTTTCCAGAAATGTGGCTGAAATATCGCCAACTCGGCTATAAACAACAATAATCAATCACATATCAAAATCGTAAAATCGTCAGATACACTGGGGGCCAGAGCAGAAACGTTTGTCTTTAATCTGTCCGAACTGTTTTGTCTATTTAGTATCATTTAACCCTTTTATTTTCGTAATTACGTGATTTTTCCGATTTTAAAATAAACGGTCACTTTGTAATATTAATCGGCTTTGTAATAATCTAGTGATTGAAGGAATGGATTTGATCATAGGTGTGCGTGTCACATATATACCATCGTCGGATACCCATCATCGTCTCAAGTCACAGTCCGGAGTCCGCATATGCTCTCCCAGAATAAGAGAGGATCTTACATTTTGTCCGTGGTTTGCGACGATGGATATCCATAGGGGTTCTCGTTTTAAAAGACGAGATCACCCGTGGGTATCCGACGATGCATATATACATCAAATCACTTAAAGTCAGTCAATCTGTCTAGATTGCCGAGCTCTTTTATACTCTCTTCCATATATCTCTGTTTTGAGAAATAGTTTAACAAATTAATGTTTAACATTATCATTCAATGTTTAGTTAGTGGCAAGATAGACTAAATACATATATCAAAATATACTGCTGAACACAATCATGATATTTATTTACACAACAAGAAACTCGACGTTTGAAAATTAACACAAATCACAGTTGGCACAAGATACCTCTCTCTCTCCCTTAGAAATTATCAATTATATTAACGTTTGTTATCTGTAAGGTTTTATTTTTTCCGTTATACTTCGTCTGCAAATAGGACACAGTTGAACAGATTCTGCACAAGATTCACAACACCTCTGATGTCTGCATGGCAAAAATAATATTTCCGAGGGACTGTCCAAACAAATGCAGCAGATTTCATCATCGGAACTCCTTGGAGCATTATTGCCAGAGTCTTGTGCTGGCCTAGTTCCACTTTGGGGAGGTTCTTGTGATGACAACACTCCACTTGTAGGGTGAGAATGATTGGGCCGTGTTCCGTGAAAACTTTCCATCGGCGGGGCTGTAGGCTGGGTTCTTTGTGTATTTGGGGGAGGCTGGTTTTGTCCTTGCTGAGAGTTTGGATGAACTAAAGGTGGATTTAGTTTAATACATGATTAAATAATTTCAACACTGATAATTAAGTACAAGAAGATTAAAAACTGAAAATACAAATAGGTTCACATCTTACTACAATCATACTAATATATGAATGAAACTCAAAAAATCTGATGAAATAGTTCAATTTTTAATAGACCTACATGTACATGAAGATTCTAATAATTAAGAATCACTTTACACAGATATTTAAAAATTATTCTGTATTCACTTCAACACGAAAATAATAAATATTGTACCTGAATGTGGATGGGCAAATAAGTACACGAAGCCTGTTACGAGATAGAAGATCCCTGATATAACTGAAAAAGCAAATGACCAGGAGGGGAAATAACTCTTCATCCAGGATTCATATCGGTACTGACCTCCGTAAATACTGACTCCAATCAAAATCCCACCTGCTACAAATCAAACGAAATGAAGATTCAAGAACAATTATTTTTAGAGAAGATATGAAAGAGTAAATTAAGGAGGTTTGATCCTGAGCTCCTGGGCAGATTTTTGTCTGAACTGATTTGAAAATTTTGCATCATATTTGGTTTCTACCCATTTATTTGGATTCTACAATGCCAATTAAACTATATTCAAATAAAAATCCACATTTAAATTCCAAACAAAAACCATTTAGTTAGGAACTTTATTTTGTGGCGGAGGGTTTTCTAAAAAAAAAAAATTCAAAGCACTATAAAATTTGGATTTCTAGATTTCCATGCATAGTCTTATTTTGTGCAGCGAGATAATTTTTTTTACCCGAATTACACATTAGATTACATATTTCGGAGTATATAGTCATATTATGACAAACAGAATAAATATATTGTAAAAGTGAGAATGAAATAGCCCCAATTTAAGCTCAGATTTAACAAATTTTCATATAATACTTATAAAATCACACCATAGACCCCCATTTTTAAGTTGTTGTTTTTTTTTCTGAATAACACCAATGAGTCTGCAGTAAATGAAAAAAATTCTTAAGACTTTTAAACATTTTTATTGCTTGTTGCCTTTTTTAATGCCGAAAAAGTTAATATATAAGTGCAAAAAAAGTAACATAATTGATTATGCGTAGTAACTTGAAATTTTTTCTTTGTCATAGTTTCCAGTGTGTCCATGTAACACAGAATAAGACTGTATTTGGTTCCAGATTTATTCGGATGAAAAAAAGTAGAGTAAAAATAAAAAAAGAAAAAAAAAGATATGTTTGTGAAACACTGATGTCCCCGTATGGCAACTTATAGCGAAGGTTAAAGTTTCTAAAAAATGCAAATCAATAATGTTGGTACCCAAAGTAAGGTTCTTGTCTCGAGGAATATACCTGTGAAATGTGACAGTCCTAGCAGCAACCATGGAAACGATATGGAAAAGGTTAAAGTTTTTCAAAAGTAAATCAAACATCAAGGTCAAATGGTCAAAATTAATGGTGCCAAAGGAAAGGCCTTCTCACAATAAATACACATGTGAAATATGAAAGCCCTAGCACCAACCGTTATGGTCAAGGTTAAAGTTTTCAAGAGTAGGTCAAACTCCAGGGTCAAAGGTCAAAGTTGTTGGTATTCAAAGTAAGGCTTCTCACAAGGATTACATATGTGAAATAAGGAAGCTCTAACACCAACTGTCCAAAAGTAATGGGCAAGGTTAAAGTTTTCCAAAAGTACATCAAACGTCAAGGTCAATGGGCTATAATTGTTCGTATCCAAAGAAAGGTCTTGTCTCAAGGAATGCACATGTGAAGTATGAAAGCCCTAGCACCAACTTCTCAAAAGTTATAGCCAAGTTAAAGATTCCCAAAAGTAGGTCAAACTCTAAGGTCAAGGTTAAAGGTTCAAAGTTCTTGATATCCAAAGAAAGGTCTTTTCACAAGGATTACACATGTGGACTATGAAAGCCCTAGCACCAACTGTTGAAAATTTATGGTCAAGGTTAAAGTTGGGTAAAATTTTCCAAACTTGGTAAAACTGCAAGGTCAAATATGATGTTACCCAAAGAAAGGTCTTGTCACATGGAATATACATGTGAAATATGAAAGCCATAGCTCCAACCAATCTGAAGTTATGGACAAGGTTTAAGTTTTTGCGGACAGACAGACAGAGGGACGGACAGGGCAAAAACTATGTGCCCCCGAATCTTCCATTACGGGGGCATAAAAATTAATTTATCTGCAAGGTTTAATTACAGTGCAGAGAGGCCATAATCATTGCATCATAGCGCCAAAAGAAGATCATTAACCCCCATTTTTTGTTTTGATTTTTAATTAAGGTATGTATGCAGATATTAATAATATACTTTACAAATACAGTGTACTTAATACTTTTACTGCAAGATGCAAGGTCCTTAAGGACAGATGATAAAAACAAAAATATGGATACCTGGATTGGTATATATTTTTTAATCTATATTGGTTGTAAATGATGTTACTAATAAATTTCTAGAATATTAAGAATTTGTAAACTTTCTCTGAAGTTCAAAATTCAACCTTTCTGCAACCATCTTTATTAATCTATACAATTTTTTGTCACTTAAATTCCCATTTTTCTGAAACTTTGAATGAAAAATTAAAATCTGTGCGGTTAAACTTATTCCTTTTACTCATATAAATATAACTTAGGTTGTTATTTTCAGGATTTTAGATAAAAGTTTGTATCATTTGTCTTTAAGTACATATACAGTTTATGAGGTATATGATAAATAAACAGTCCTGGGTCAGTAATCATGTACAAAATCCCTGGCTGTGTCAAGAATTTCAAAACATTTACCAGCAAGGAAATTCAGCACTGCTGCGGTTATTCGAACTCCCTTCTTGTTAACAGTCGGACTTACAAACGTACAAAGAATGGAAAACACCACAGACGCCATTGATGTTAGAAGGCCAACACTTTGAAAAAATCTGGATGCATGAAGCCATGCTGGAAAAGTATAAAAGAAACACATATTGTAGTATAAATATTCATAAATATGGTTAAGCGGCAAGATAGAACATAATTATACATATAAAAATCGTAAGATCTTAGGCTATTTAAACGGAAACATTGAATGTAATTTGAAAATTTTTAGTCACTTTATCTTATTTAAGAAGAACATTTAATTATCTTGTCGAGTCATTCAATTCAATTAGCATGAAAAACATCATGAATTTTTCCGAAATATAAGATATTAAGAGTAGGGTATTCCTCCACTCTTTTCACACTAATTTATATCTCAGCCACAAAGCTATCAAATTTTAAAGGGACTTTGTGTTTTGCTTTGTGTGTGTGTGTGTGTGTGTGTGTGTGTGTGTGTTTTAAGACAAAAATTTATCACTTTTAATACATATAAATTTTCTACTTTATAACTGAATTTGATAGCATATTTTCCTTTAGAAAGCATAGTGGTAATTTATATGACTAATAAAGAATTAAATATTGCAGGATTATGGGTAATAGCACATTCATCTGCATACAGAAATCCTCATTGGCCCAAGCATCTTGTTGATAAATTGTTGGGAAAAAAGACTCTGAACATCTCTGAACATCTTTGTTATACTGGAATGTCGCACATTTAAAAACCGCGATAGCAAATTGTTCTTTGAAGGATAAACGTTATGCGGAATGGTATAGACTAAGCATATACCGGGGTTTGTTTAAGTCCAGTTTCGAATTAACTTTATCATTTTCTATATTACTACGAGAAATTTTATCATTCATTTTATGAACCATTATTCATTTCTTAAAAATTGTATATTTTGTAAAAGAAAAAAAATGATCAAATACAAAAAGAAAACGGAAGCTGTATTAAAAAAAGAAAGAAAGAAAAAGAAATTAAAGTTTAACAGATATAGGTCAATCGGCACCCGTCCATATTGTGAAGACGTGAATTTAAAAAAAAAATGGCAAAGACAGGAGAAAACCTGTCAAAAGGAAAAGTCAGCATTTTCTGATGTTAGAACAATACAATAAAAACCATCTTGTATTACGCTGTTCTTTAAGCACCTCATCTTTGTGGTTTTTATATACAATCAGAATAAATTCAACTATTTTTTTTTTAGATGAAGGGCTTTAATCTTCTAGTTCTATTAGTTTATTTAGTTATTTATCTCTGATATTTTGAAAGTAAAATGACAGGCTATGTCAATGATCGAACTGCTATTTTACATTTCAAAAAAAAAATGTAAAAGAGAACAATACTAAATTGGAACAATTCTCGAGTCAAAAACACTCATATTTCCCAGGTATATGTGATATAAACGACGTCTTCTGAGTAGCATAAAAAAGAAAACGTGTCATTTTTCATCCAGACGTTTGCTATGATGTAACTTACCAGGAATTCGACGACCATGATAACCTAAAAAGTTTCCAACGGTCTCACAGCAAGTAAAATCTGGACTTGTAGCGGACTTGCTGCAGTGATTCCATAGTCCTATATTGGCGTCCACTGATCCTTCTGATATTTCAGCCCAAACATCACTGCCATAAGACAAGGTATGAAAGAACCAGGCGAAGAAAATGATGAAAAAGCAAGCTTTACACCCCCCGGGAGACTCGCAGAATGTGTCTACTGACGCGATTAATGCCTCCGTCACGGTCATTTTTCACTCTCATCTCGATCAACTGTTCAAAGTGAAATGATGTCAATAAACTGACGATAACACAGAAATATCAATATAGCATAAAGATGCATATGATATCAGAACTTGACTTGATTTACCCGAAATCAAACATTGTCTTGCTTAGGTATGACTATGTCTGGACTTAAATCTCCTGATACCCATAAAACCTACCCATTTATTGTTCAAGCAATTGATCAGTGCACTGATAAAATTGTATTATTTATTTTACCTGTCAGGTTCTGAACTGTTTCGATTAACTCTATAAGTAAGCTGCAAATCAGGACATCGAGAAAAGTGCCTATGTATTTTTGAATATGAACAAAAGGTACTTAGAAATAAATATACTTCCTTGATGGGAAATTGGATTTAACGATCGATCTTTCTAAATCAATTGACTGCTGTAGCGTATCAGGGCTTTAAATATACCCGATATTCAGATCAATACGTTGAACGCAATCAAGTTTTGAAAACAGAAACTTGACTCGGTCGATTTTCCTACTTTTGGACTTCAGAACCATAATGAAACAGGTGACTCCCAAAAATGACGGTTAAAGATCGTATTAAAAATGCTATCAGGGCGATCGGTGACGCACCCAGAGGACTGACTTGGTCATTTTGCTTTCTTATGTTTATTTATGGATTTTTCTTGGCTGGATTTTGTTCCGATTACTGGCTGGAATCGTCTATAGTGTTGTCTGGGTATGACTATCGAACACAAGGACTGTGGAAATTCTGCTATGGAGCACTAGGAGCGACTTGTTGCGGATACATAAACGAAGTTATGTATGTTGAACGTAGGTATTCTCGACTCAGTGCTTTGTAAGAGGACTGTATACATGAATAATTTTTCAAATAAAAATGTAGGAGCTAAAAATGAAATTATAAAAATCTACAAACGTTTTTTGATTGATGATTGTTTTCAATTACTAATCATTTACTTATTTTTTTTTTCTTACGTTTAATATTGCAGCTTTCCTCAACGCTACCAGAGCATTCCTTGTTATCAGCATTATTCCACAAGTTACATGTCTTATTGCAATTTGTGTAGGAATATTTAAGAAATCTTATTCATCGTCAAAATCTTTCGGGGGATTTGCTGCAGCGTTTGCAGGTACAATTTAAAAATGGAATACTACTAGATTAATTAACTTCACCATATATCATTATTATAACCCCTGCTTGAAAAGTGGGGGGGGGGGGGGTATGTTTATAGTGGGGATGTCCGTCCTCCGTACGTCCATAACACTTTTGGGTACCCATCTCTTATCTACAACTCCTCTTATACCACTGAAGAAAATCTAATGAGACTTTCACAGAATCTTTATCACATAATGCAAAATTGTGCACCTTCTATTGTATTTTTCGATTGGGCAGATGCATGTAAACGGGGTTACCCATAGCAAAACATCGACACTGCCATTCTTTCTATAACATGGGGGTACCCGTCTCTTATCCTCAACTCCTCCTATACCACTGAATATAATTTAATGAAGCTTTCATATAATCTTTATTACATTATGCCATGCACCTCCTATTTTTCGTTTCCATCAAACAGTTATTTAAGGGTTTCCCATTGCAAAACCTGGACACTGTCATTCTTTTTATAATATTGAGGGGTACTCATCTCATATCCGCAACTTCTCTTATACCACTGAATAACATTTAGTGTAACTTTCACAGAATCTTTCTTATATAGTTCATTGTGACCTCTTATTTTATGTTCCGATCAGACCGATAATTTGGGTTTCCCATAGCAAAACATGAATTTTGACATTATACTCATATGGGAGCGTGGGGTGGGGGTCATTTTGTGAGCTCAGTACTCGCAGTACCTTTAGTTTTATTTTAAAAAAGAATTATAATTTAATAATTTGATGTTTGATTTTATATTTGAATATTTCAGCCTTCTTCATCACTCTCGCTATCATTATCTATGGTGCTGCGTCACAAGATGAAGATTCCACGAGTATATACAGTCTGTCTTGGTCCTACGCTCTGTGCGTGGTCAGTGGATTGGCCTATATACCTTTCTGTTGCTTTATTTGTCGTACAGATGACTATCCAGAAACTCCTACCATGTAGATGTATTTGTTATATGCATTTAAAAATGCGTGTTTCCGTTTTGTTTTATTTATATATGCTTTTTTGAACAACTGTTCCTCAATAAATTTTATAATGTATTAAAATGTTACCAATTTTTTTTTTTTTTTTTTTTTTTTTTTTTTTTTTTTTTTTTTTTTTTTTTTTTGCATAACATTATTATGGAATTCCATATACGACAGCCAACTGCTTACTGCCAACTGCTCACTGCTTACTGCCAACTGCTCACTGCTTACTGCCAACTGCCACACATATTTGAATAAATTTTCATATTTATATCGATATTTATGTGAATTTTCATAAAACCAGGGGCGGATCCAGGACTTTTTTTACAGGAGGGGTCCACCCCAGTAAAAAAAATCCAACCCAGAAATTTCTTGACAAAAAACAAAAACAAAAACGTAAACTCCTTTCCTAAACGTGAAAAACCTATTTCGGCGGGAGGGGGGGGAGGGGTTGACATCTTATGCTTCATATCTATGACTTTTCATATCAACTTAACAAGGATCCACGTTTTCTAGGGGTTCCAAGGTCACCGTGACTTTTAGTTTGTTTAGTATATACATTAAATAGCTCTACAAATTCCAGGGGGTGGTCCGGACACCCACCCATCTCCTCCCACCGACCCCCCCCCCCTCTCTCTCTAGATCCGTGTATGTAAAACATAACTTATTTGGGAAAACAAAGAGATATTAATAGATCTTTAATTTGAGAAAATATTTCACTATAGAAATTAACGGAGAATGGACATTTATTTTCAAAACATCTTCCCCCGCGAAACAATACATCCTTTTTTCAGTTTTTATTCATTCCAAAGGTTTTGTTGTCTCACGGGGGGGGGGGGCACGTGGTTTTGAAGATTAAAAACAGTACTTAATACTAATGAACTTTTCTTTGCATTCAAACAAGTTTTTATGTCCAAATTGCCATTTATATTGAATTAAATAGATGGAAAACGTAGGCGGGAATCGTGAGTTAGTGTGCGTAGTTCTTAAAATAATAACAAAATTTGGCGGATTTAGGAATGCGAGGAAAGGCGAGGAAGGAATAAATCGGAAGAAGGAGTATATCCTCTTAAAAAAAAAACATTTAATTTCTGCATTTCGTTGCAGGCAAATAATTTGGTAGCTTTTTATGACGCGGGTAAAGGGGGGGGGGGGGTCACATACGACAAAAGAACAAACTTTTAAAAGGGTCTTGAGTAACACTTGTTGGTATATGTATTTATAATAGAAATATTACTGAAAGTTATAATAACAAATAACTTTGCCTAGTTTAAAATATATCTAGTAATATCTTTCGGTGTTTCTTTTTACCCTAGGAAAAGTACCTATATGTGTGGGAATTTTTAGATCTGTTAGATCTGTAATAAACATTCGTGGTGGTGGTTCGGGGGGGGGGGGGGGGGCGTAACCACTAAATTTCCAACATATATTTTATCAAGTAGTTCTCCCTTACGGAAGCGTATTAGTGCCACGTAATGTTTTTTTTAAAGTTGGTAATTCCAGCTTTAAAGTTGGCTTATCCAACTTTAAAGTTGGCTTTTCCAACTTGGCAATTTGGACATAAAAACTTGTTTGAATACAAAGAAAAGTTAATTAATATTAAGTACTAAAAACCAGTGACAAAAAGTTAATTGCTCTCATTTACAACTCCTTTCATAAGGGGGTAGAAATTTTATCAATTGAAATCAGGCTGAAAACATCGCCATTTTCAAATACACATGAAAATGGATAAATGACTCTTAAATCTCACCGTATGTTTTAACTTATGTAAAATTTAACATATGAGATTGATAAAGTGATAAAGTACATTTTTTTTATTTGTGATCTTATTTAAAATTGGTAATAAAATAACCATTTTCCTGTTTTTAATCTTTAAACACGTGCCACCCCCCCTCCCCCCCCCCCCCCGTAGGACAAGAAAACCTTTGGAATGAATAAAAACTGGAAAAAAGGATCTGTTGTTTCGCGGGGGAAGTTGTTTTGAAAATAAATTTCCATTTTCCGTTAATTTTTATAGTGAATTATTTTCTCAAAATAAAGATTTATATCTCTTTATTTGCCCAGATAAGTTATGTTTTACATACACGGATCTAGGGGGTCGGTGGGAGGGGGGGGGGTCCAGACCACCCCATGGAATTTGTAAAGTTATTTAATGTATAGACCTATACTAAACCAACTAAAAGTGACCTTGGACCCCCCCCCCCCCTAGAAAACGTGGACCCGTGTTAATTTGATATGAAAAGTCATAGATATAAAGCATAAGATGTCAACCCCCCCCCCCCCCTGCCGAAATAGGTTTTACTCGTTTAGGAAAGGAGTTAACGTTTTTGTTTTTGTTTTTTGTCAAGAAATTTCTGGGTTGGATTTTTTTTTTACTGGGGTGTACCCCTCCTGTAAAAAAAATCCTGGATCCGCGCTTGGTTTTATGAAAATTCACATAAATATCAATATAAATATGAAAATTAATTCAAATATGTGTGGCAGTTGGCAGTAAGCAGTGAGCAGTTGGCAGTAAGCAGTGAGCAGTTGGCAGTAAGCAGTTGGCTGTCGTATATGGAATTCCATACATTATTTAGAAATATAGATTTATTTATTATGCTGTTTGAAATGAAATATTGTATCTTAATAAAATAAACCTCAGAGTTGCATTTCAAGAACTTTCGATAACTTGGCAATCGGATAAAAAAAATACGAGTTTAAAATTATTAAATGAATAAATTAATTGATTTAATCTTTTATAACAAATTTTTGAATTCGTTATAACGAATTCAAAATTTGCTATAATAAATTTAATTCGTTATAACGAATTAAAAAAATTGATATAACAATTAAATTCCTTCTAACAATTTCCACAATTCGTTATATCGAATTCAAAAATATTTATTGATAGGTCCTAAATGAACTTCCGTAATTACTATACTTATATTCCCAAAAATTCAGTTTCCGACATCAAAATTTATTAAGAAAATTTTCCAAACTGTCTGTCCTTCTTGAATCCTCCATTTATATATAACTGATTATGTGTTTCCTTCATTCTTTTCTTTTTCTTTATATACTTGTCTATTTTTTGACCCTTGACTGTAATTTTGTTTGTATATATATATATATATATATATATATATATATATATATATATATATATATATGTGTGTGTGTGTGTATATGTACCTCTTGTACCAGTGATCTGGTTTTGAGTGAACAAAGAATTGAATTGAATAGGCAACCCACGGTTAATTTTGCATAAGCTTATCAAAAAGTATATGTGAAATTGATTTTACATAGGTTTCCCACGACGAATTTCCATCTTCAAAACTATTTTATATATTAAAATGCAACAAAATAATTTTAGATATTAAAATGCAACTGAATACTTACAAATATTATTGCAAATAAAAATTCTACAAAGATAAATGTAAAGGCTCATTAAGTAGACTGACGTTTTGTTGACGTAAAATGTTTTCAAAATATTACAGAAAGTGAACCAGAACTTATGGTTGTCGTGATGCAGTAATTAAAAAGCTTGTCTTGTTTTGCCTTGCACTGGTCCTGAAGATAATTCCATTCTTGCTTGCGCTATTATAATACAGGGGAAATATGATGAAATGGAAGCTTTACATCTTCTAGGAGTCTTCATAAAAGTGTCAGACAACTAAGCTACATGTAGCTCTCGGTACACGTGACTTATTTTCATGCTGATCACTTATGACAATAAAATATGCCTTTAAAGCATTTGCTTTATCTTACTTAGCTGCATGTTCCAAGTTCTGTTTTCGTGCTGGTCTGTGTGTGTTGTATGTTTCACATCTTACCAGGGTGCGTGTGTGTGTGTAAAATAAATCTTTCACAAAAATTAAAGCAAACAACTGACGCGCACACGTATACATGCACACTTCAATTGACAAATACAAGAACACGTGGTAACATATGAAATAATGAAATCATTCCCGATTTAGATGTCAATTATACTTATTATAGACATAATTTGCATTATTTGGCTATATTATCACAATGACCAAACTTTGTCTAGTTTCCGATTCCTCCTTGAAAACGCAAAATAATGACTTTGTTATACATGTATTCAATCGCATCATCTCGGGTCTTTCCGTCGGAGGTCGGAAAAACAACCTCGAATGTATTAACATCACCGGATGTTAAAAATTTATACAAGATGGAGACGCTTCCTCTTTATTATAGCATTGGAACATAGGCGCTTGGGTCAAGGATAATGCATATTATCTATATAATGTATTGTCGAGGAAATTCGAACTATATTCTTAGCAATTTTTTTTAAGCGCACAGTGGTGATTTTTAGTTTTTTGTAAATCTTTCTGCTTGATATACACTAGACTGTCACAGAAATTTGATTTTATGCACATTTTAAGAATGACATATTCCTACAGTATACTAAAAAGAAACTTTTTAGTATACTGTAGGAATATGTCATTCTTACTAATCATTTTCTTTTTTGGTTATGTTTATAACGATTACTATTTTTGTTTGCTTGAAGAGGCGTTGGTGGTTTCCTGCTAGACTTTCATTAATCTATATACATACATGTGCGCTTTCCTTTTCTTACATACGTGTGGAAAGTCACCCTCCACTCTCGTACAAAAACATAGATAACAGGTGATTCTGAGGTCAGAGTGGGGTGCATTTCATTTGGGGAGATTTTCGAAATGTCAATTATTTCACTCGGGCGGATTTTCTTTTTGGCGAATTTAATACCTCATTGGGCGAAATATATAATAAGCACACAATGCAGGCACGTAGTATCTTTTTTTTTTTTTTTTTTCACAATATCGTAACAAAAGGTTGGAGGATTAGTCTTTCAATGAACATTTTCAACAGTAAAAGTTATGTTTGGAAAAAAGGGGGGAGATAATGAAAGTACTTTCTAACATGTGTGGATCAACATCAATGCGCGTGGATAAAATTCGAGTCTTATAGAATAACTACAGAAGTTTGACATATAACCCATGAGAGGTTGTGGGCTACAAAATACTCAGCCAAAATTGATATCGAATACAGTGTCAATCAGTAGTTTTCAGTAATGTGTTCGTTTCGTAGCTTCACCCAATCAA